GTAGACTATCGATATTTAAATTCGATCACTATCAAGGACCGATACCCACTACCACTTATTCACGAAATACAAGGTAGGATCGGAGGAGCAAAATACTTCACGAAGTACGATATCACTAATACTTACCATCGTATTAGGATTAAGCCAGGACACGAATAGAAGACAGTATTCAGAACTAAGTTCGGACACTACAAGTACCGAGTGATACCATTTGGCCTCACTAACGCACCCGCTACGTTTTAGCGATTTATTTTTAAGGTACTCGAAGAATACTTGGATATCTTCGTTATCGTATATCTTGACGATATTTTGGTGTTCTCTAAGACTATAGAGGAATATATATAGCACAATAAGAAGGTACTATAGAAGCTAAGGGAAGCGGAAGTTACCCTTAAACTTAAGAAATACGAGTTTTATATATAAGAAACCACGTTCCTCGGATATCGTATCAGTCCCGATAGACTAGGAATAGAGGAAGATAAGGTCAAAAGTATTATAGATTAGCCAACACCCAAAAACGTTAAGGAAGTACAATAATTCCTTAGACTAGCCAACTATTATAGGAAAATCATCGATAGATACGCTAAAACGGCCACAGGGCTATATCGGCTAACCAAGAAGGAATAGTCCTTCTTATGGGACGAACAAGTAGAGCAATCTTTCAACGAGCTCAAAAAGCTATTCGCTTAAGGGATTATTGTCGCTATATTTAACTATAAACAACCTATCGTCATAGAAACAGACGTATTAGACTACGCCCTGGGAGCAAGACTCACCTAGCTAGGGACGAATAGGAAATACCGACCAGTGGCATTCTAGTCTAGAAAAATAATCCTAGCAGAGCTTAACTACGATATATATAATAAAGAACTCTTAGCTATAGTGTTAGCTTTCTAAGTCTAGAGAGTATACCTTAAAGGAGTAAAATATATAGTGGTAGTTAGGTCAGACCATAAGAACCTCACGTTTTTCACTACGACGAAAGTGCTTACCTAACAACAAGCACGATAGGCTGAAACCCTAGCACAATACAATTTCAAAATCGAACATTATAAAGGAACAGAGAACAGCTAAGCAGACACTCTTAGCAGACAACCAGATTACGAGTTAGGAACCAAAGTAGCGGAACCCGCCGTCCTAAAACAAAATTCAGACAGAATAATCTTATACAATCGATAAATACTAGCCGCCACACTAGAACTACAAGACAATGAACTGATCCAGAGGATCAAGCAAGAAGTAGAAAAAGACCAAATCCAAGAATTGGCCGGAGATAACGGCAAACTAGTCAGAAATCAGGAAGGAACTATCCTAATACACGGACTGATCTATATGCCCTCGAGCATAAGGAAAGAAGTGATCCAGAAACACCACGATAACCCTACTCACGGATATATAGGGGTAGAAAAGACCATCGAACATATTTCACGAAACTATTATTTTCTAAATATATATCGAAAAGTTAGATTCTATATCAAGAATTACGACACGTGCTAAAGGAATAAGCCAGCACAACACACACTATACAGAGAAATATAACTATCCGAGACTCCTATAGAACCATAGGATTAGATTACAATGGACTTTATCACGAAGTTACTAATCTCCGACGGACACGATATGATTATGGTTATAGTCGATAGGCTAATGAAGTACGCCTATATGATTCCAACAACGGAAACTATCACCACCGACGGAATGGCCAATATTGTCTTACAATATATAGTCGCTAACCACGGACTACTAACCAAAATCACATCGGACCGAGACAAATTATTCACCTCCAATATATGGTAATCCTTTGCGGATTAACTAGGCATTGAATTAAGAATATCAACAGCCTATCACCCACAAACCAATAGATAAATAGAGAGAGTGAACCAAACACTAAAGCAGTACCTAAGACACTACGTGAACTACTAACAAGACGATTAGGCAGGACTATTACTAACGGTGTAATTGGTATACAATAACGCTATACACACAACAACCAACAAATCACTATTTTACGCAAATTTTGGGTACTACCTAAGGGTGATTAGAACCCCGCGAGGATAGGTAGCTATGGCCGAATTAGTAAGACTCAAAGCCACTAAGCTCAAACAGCTCTATCTATAGCTATCCCAGGATATCGATTTTGTCAACCTCCGAATAAAGAAGTACTACGACAATCAGTACAAAGGAGGGCTAGACCTAAAAAAGGGGGAAAAGGTCTACCTACTACGACGAAATATTAAGACAAAACGACCAAGCGACAAACTCGACCATCTACGATTAGGACCCTTTAAAATCGATAAAAAAATAGGACAAGTTAACTATCGATTAAAACTCCTATATAGTATAAAAAGACTTTACCTAGTATTTTATATCTTATTACTCGAACCCGCATTAAACGATACCAAAATCGCTACCGATATAGAACTCGATATAGAAACCGAAGAAGAGTACAAAGTTAAACGTATCCTAGTAGACCGATAGTATAATAGTTAGCAATAATTACTGGTACAATAGAAAGGTTACCCTACCTTAGAAAATATATAGGAACCTATCGCGAATTTAAGGGGCTACTATTAGCTTGTTCAACAATACTACCAGAAGGTAAAGCGAACTCCGGAACTACGAGAGGCAAGGAAGACTCGGAATCCCAGAAGGAAGAAGGGAGACCAACGATCTCCGACAATATCCGATCGAAGTCAGGATAATCGGCAGTAGCGGCTAACTACTCTAGATCAAGAGCAGAGGAGGAAGGCTACTTAGGGGACAAATGTTTTTTATCGAGAATTTAAAGAAGCTTAGTATTATACTCTAATATTTTGAAACCCTTTTGTTTCAAGAAAGCTATTTGTTTTCTTAACCGTCGCTAACGCGATATAGCCTCTTAATATTGTTTTTGTTTATTTAGCAATTTTTAGTGTAACTCTGTAAGATGAGATTGTAGCGTAGATAACTCGGGCTCTAGCAAATCGAGCTTACTTTTATTCTTTTCAATATCAACGGAAAGTTTATTTTCGGCGTCACGTAATAGATCCCACTTACGAGAAGTGTAGAAGTCTCGTTTACACAACCTACCCGCCCGCGTATAGGCAGTATACTTAGAATAACGATAAGAACGATCTATCACGTAAGACATACCTAAACCAAGGCAGTGACTATAAGGAATAGCAGTCACAAAACTATTCGCCTTAATATAGTCCGCTTACGTATGATGAGTAACTAAAGAATCACGAGGAAGCTTAGGAGTACTTTCTAAGATAGAATTAGCCTTACGTTTAGGTATAACGGGACAGGAAGGATAGGAAACCTGACTCACCGAAGAAAGAGGGGGACCACGGATTTATAAGCTTCGAGGACGAAACTCCTAGGAAGGAGGAGGTGATGTTACGGACCTATCAGGCACCCAGCGACCTAAACTACCCTACCAGCATTATAGGCCATCGAGAGCCAATCAACCTAGATCACGTGTAAAGGATACCCCGGCAAACCAGAAATCGTGTCACGTGATCATGTAGGTAGTAGATAGGTCGACGGTAGAACGATAGATTCCGCCAAGACAAATCTACCAAGCTACTATCTACCCAACTACTCCTAGGAAGACAGGAGGATATATAAGGACGTTTATTCATGTACTTAGTTTAGTTCTTCGTCTTTAATCCTATATTGTTACTTGTGTATACTTTTGAGAAACACGAGACTCTTGACTAAAGATATAACTTGACAACACTACGAGTTAGACCAATACCCCGGTATAGATCTACTCGGCGCTCTACCTAGCATCGATTCCTCGACACGACTCCTAGGGACTTAGGCTGTAGTAAGGCCTGCGGATAAGGCAACAGCTCAGTGACGGCAGATGTATCGTTGACGTTGGAAAACCCGAGGCGTAATAAGGTAACTATACCCTGAACCGTCCAACCTAACCGTGACCAGTTAGTTAGTGCGTAACACTTGCCTATACCTTCGAGACCCCGAAACACACTATTAGTAGTGTGAAGATATTAAGCCTTAACACAGATCGGTTCGTAAAGATATTTGCTATAGTTAATAGGTAGTATATGGATCCGCGGTTCTCTGGCAAGACGTATTACTTATATATTGCAGCTATTATCACTATTTTAGGGGTATATATCTACTATCATAGAGTCCGGGTGGGTCTATGTTCTGAGTAACCCACTAACCCTACAGGGATATATTCTATGCTATACCTATTTGGTTACCTTCTAGTTTTCTGAGTTAGCGGTAGGGGGGACTTAACCCACCTAAGCGACTCCCACTTTTATATATTGACAATACTAGCTCGCCGTAATCCACTAGTCACTGCGGAGGGTCTACTTCACGACCTATCCATTTAGATAGAACATTTTTCAAGGTTTTTAGAAGCCGACCTCTCTCTAGCTATTGCGGAAACCAGTATAGCCGTGGATTTTATTTCACATAGTGCGAGTTTACGCTTATAGATCGTGCGCCTATAAACTATCCTTCGATAGTCTTCTCTAGCCTTAGAAGAGGAAGAATAGCTACGGACACAAGGATTAGACCATATATATCCTAAGAGATAGGTCCGCGGTGTCTGGTCGATGCCTTCTTTCCTTCGTCACCTAGGGCGGTTAAGCGATCACAATACTTATAGTGCTCTTTAATAGGGGCGAAAGCTTAGAAGGTTTAAGATTGAGTTTAGTGAGGGAATTGCACTTCTGTTCGCCCCGGTCTTGCCTACTTTCCGCCGATTATCTCTTATCGAAGAAGCTAAAGCTATATAGCTTCTGAGAGCTACCTATACCAATATTATTATTAATACACAACGACTTCTATATTTTAAGTCTTAGTATTAGGCATTAGTAGTAACTTATATCCTTTATTATATCTTATAACTAACACAATTCTTTGTCTAGGTTCCGCGTCCAATACTACCGATTCCCTAGGACGCGAGCTACCTAAACCGTTATAAATTCAAAAATCTCTAGCCCGTATATATTAGGCCCTATTAGTGCGCTAGTGTTACCTTACCAGATAAAGGAGCCTCTAGCAGGAACCTCTATCTCTATTCTAACCGATCCTTTCACGAAAAGGATTTCGTTCGGCCGTAGCTTCCGCTTGACTGGTTGGTTTTCCCGCGTTTCTTCTTTCGTTAAATCTTGCGGGTATAGCATGAAAGTCACTCTAGCTTCGTCGATATTCGAAAGATCCCGAAAGATAGATACCGTAGGACGAGATAGATACGCAAGCCTAGTGCCCTATAAGTGGTTCTCGGAGGAGACAACGATAATAGGGCCTTGACGATAGGGGAAGCGAACTTCGCCTATAGCCTCCTTGATTTTCCGAGTGAACTACTATTTATCAGTCTTGGTTTAATATACTCTTTGGCAAACCTACTATATCGCTTTCCTTAGTCCTACGCCGCAAAAACCGCGTATATATATTAGTATCTCCCCTACTATAGACCAAAGGGGCTTTTTCTATCTTTGGCTATAAGTGTAGAGACCGCCGCACTTCGGAATTGATGTCGGCTCCATTAGTGGAAGCTAAAAATACTATAAAGCCCGTGATCTCTATATCGAATAGCTTATTGAAACGAGGCGATCTGTTCTACGCTATTGTTATATTTACGTTCCTGTACTAGGCCCAAATAGTCTAGCTTGATAGAGAATAGCCAAATTGAAACTAGGAGGAAGAGGAATAGAAAGGCAAGACAGCGACGTATAGACCTTTATATATTTATTGTATCTCTCGATATAAATCTAGTAGACATAAATATTGACCCTAAGGGTTGTCCGGAGACTTATCTCACGTCCTTACTAGCAATAGGCCATAATAAACAAAGAACGTAGTCTTAGAGGCCTACCTCCTAATCCTCGAACTATAATGATTGGTATACTATTGCCTTTAATTCTATCTAATAAAATAGCTAGGTTATGGATAATATTATATGATATACAATTTCAATTTAACAAAATTGGGATTTTCCCATAGAATACTATAAGGGCTTTCCTCGCTCTAACGATCTCTTTGAAGTACCTATAGTCCAGCTAGCAAGCTTCTATCTTTCTACTGTCGTTTAGTTCGATATACAATTTTGTTATATCCGATAAACCTTCCGCGAATTGAACCTTTAGTACTTAAATCACCCTCCTTTTAACTAAGAACGAAGGTTTAAACTTTGTGAGAGTATTGTCTGTATTGCTGATATTGTCGAATTCTTTGAAGTCCAACTAGCGCATTATTCTACGCCTATCTTCCTCTAGCTCGACGCGTAACTTTGTATTATCTAGGTAGGGCTCCCGAAATTGGATTTCCTAGATTTCGATCACTCGTATACCTTCTGTTTAGGCACTGCCTAATATATCGCGTATAGCGATATCAGGCGATATAGCGATCCTCTCCGTATTTCCTAATCTAATATATCGCTTATCGACGTTATAGTTAGTGATACACTGGTCGAGATATATGCTAGGAATATTAGGCCTTACTTTTGGTAGGTCTTGGGTCTTTGCCTTGTAGTATAGATCCGGCGCTTTATTTGGTCCACTCTGTGCCTTTTATGGTGGTTAGCTTTGAATGACCAAGGACTTATATTCCGTACCTTCTGCCGACCTAGGCAAGTATAGAATAGACCTAAGAAACCTAAGGAGGGCCTGAGTTATGGGTAGTTTATGTTCGGTCGAGAAAGAGAAAATACTTATTTTAATACCCCAAAGAACAATGGACCACAAGACCTATATATTATAATTCCTTCTTTTTAATACCGCGCTTACTAATCAAAGTTTAGGGGTATGGTCTCCTATTAAAAGACCGAGATAAGTCTGGACCTTAGGGTCTAAGCGGGCCTACATTCTAAGAAATCATGCCTATAGGGGATATATTCTATCCTTTACCCCTTCGGTCACCTCCGAGGTTTCTGAGTCAGCGTATCATAGTAGGACTCTGACCAAAAATTGATCTCTATTGTTTTCCTACTAGCTCGCTACAATCCACTAGTCACTATAGAGGATCTACTTCACAACCTATCTATATATTTTTTAAGGTTTTTAGAAGCCGACCTCTCTCTAGGTATTACGGAAACCAGCACAACCGTAGTAGAGTTTATTTCGCGTGGTGTGAGCTTACGCTTATAGATCCTACACCTAGATACACCACTATTTACCGTCGGGAGTAGGCTCCGGGACGCTATCCCCGTATAGTAGTATATATATAATTAGCGAGCTATATCGGGTCAATAAATTTATTATTATGGATCCTACACCTGAAAAGTATTCTTTGATGGTCTTCTCTAGCTTTAGAAGAGGAAGAATAGCTATGGATACGAGGATTAAACCGTGCTTATCGGTATTTTACTCTTTTCTTGGCTATTATAAAGTATATAAAAAGAATAAATTTATCTAGTCCGAAGGTTTTCGATTCCTATCGTAAGGTTTAACACTTCTGCGGCTTATAAGGCTAAGATCACCGAAGTCATACTAGGAGCCCGATATTGAATACTTATATCTAGCCACAGCGAAGGTCGACACTTATATATCTCACAGAGTTCGATTTTATAGCTATTACCAGCTTTCGTAATTTTAACTGCTATATTATTATCTACGTAGGTTAGCTCTATTAATAGAGATATAAAAACGAAGACTTACCTATTTCCTGATTCGTATATTTTTTTTCGAGTTTTATAAGCGGTGTGATTACACTTAGTAGTTTTCTTATACCCTCCGAGGTTTTCGAGGATTTTTCTAAATTAACTAGGATTATAAGCTACGTAGGAAGAACGGAAAGAATAGACATGATTGCCACTACTTTAGAGCTTAGTAGATATTAACTTTATTGTAGAGGCTCTATACTTTTTTTATTTCGTGCGCTGGGTAATCTAAGTAGCCTTTTAGAAAAATAGCGGAGTTTATCGAGGCTAAGCTTTCTGAGTGCTGTTTAATAGTACTCTCTGAACTTATTAGTCGAGCTTATCGGTATAGATTTAAATTTAGTATTTGAAGAGTTATTTATTGTGAAGTGTTTATAAGATGAGAAGAAGAATACTTTTAGGAAAGCATATAGCTTTATATTCTTTAGTGGGTAAGCTACTATTAGATAAGGTTATTGTAGGATAGGATGATCTACTAATTGGATTGCGGAGTGTGCTTAGGATGAGTATAGTAATAGGTCACTAGCTAAACCAACCGATATATAGGTAGGCCTTAATAGATTAAATATATCTTTAAACCTTAACTCCTAGGTCACGGAACACCTATTATATCTATATGTAGAAGTTTATTGTTTTGGAAGGACTTTACACTGGCTTTAAGTGATCTTATCGACGTATTTCTATAGCGGGCGCGTGTCTACGTATCTATATATTTATCTGTAGGTGATAGTTTCACTTTAATCTTTATTAGGATTGCTCTATACACTTTGAATTAATGGTTTCGCGAACCTCGAATAATAAACACCTATATAAGGGTGCGTTGATTTCTTCGAGACTCGAACTATATCGATGAAGTAAGTCAGTATAAATCTAAACTCTAGTTGTAGAGAAATGAGAAAGAGGAGTGCGTAGAATAGAAGGATAAATAGACAATAGTGCGATGGTCAAGTATTTAAAGAAAACGGATTGTCCTTTAGTCCGGATATTGGGCCTAGGATAGATATAATACTAATCGAACCTTAATCAAGCTTGAATTCTTAAGATTACTTTGGCGGTGGAGGCGGGACGCCTAGCTTCTTGACACCTGTTGTATCGTATGCGCCATGTCTATAAAGCTTAGCTTAGCTTGTGCTTAGTGATAGTATAGGATCTGCCTACCTAGTATTGGTTTCTTTAGGGCATATTATCTATATTATAGCTTAATATCAAATAGATAGTGTAGGGTGATAAGATATAAGTATTCAAATCTCTCTATATACGAAGATATTTCCGTAAAAGCCTTCCCGATTTACCTGAAATAATTTTTAGAATAAATGCCAGTGTGTGGTATATAATCTATGTTTATGAATTGAATTCTGAAAAGCGGGTCTTATAATCTATCTAAGCTTCGGAGGATGATACGAGTCCCGAATGCCGATAATATGTAGTTCTTTTTAAAGCCGACTAGCTACTTCGGGTAAAGTCTCGCTAGAATAAAACTACTATGATATTCCTAGCGTAGGATTCGAAAAACTTAAGTGGCGCTTTTGAACACCACCCCTTTCCACGACCTCGACACTCCCTTCTTCTTTTGGTGGTGCTTTAGGTTTAAGGAGAAGGACACTTAGGTAGCTTTACTATCTGAGTAACTACTACCACGAGGTTTATAGAGAGCTTGTGTATCGATGCTGCCTATCTAGTTAATAAATTATTATTTAAATTCACACTATTAATTTCCTTCTAGCTTTACTATACTTATCAATAGAAGCGAGAAAAGAGCCTGGCTTTACTACTCAAGGCTTAGCCATATAACACTTACCTAAGCGGATAGCACCTTAAAATCTAATTACTTTTTTAGTAGCACTTCTCCTATTGTGCAGAGATAACTTATCGCTATATAGAAATAGTAGAGCCCTTTCCACGTAGTTATATCTATAAGTATGGGTGTATTGAAAGTATATGATACTTCACTATAATCTAGATCGGCCTCTATCTTTACGCCTTAGACTTATAGTGTCACACACCTTAATTATAATGGCCTATATAACCGTGCGTTGATTGTTTTTAATAGAGGCTCGGATTATCTGTAGTTTAGTATAGATCTTAACGTATGGCTCGCGGGCTCTTATACTAAACTAATTGTAGAGAGATAAAAGGTAGAAGTGCTTAATTGGTAAAAAGGATAAAAACGATTCAGAGACGAGCATCGCTATATATTGTAACAAGCTATACAAGACGAGTTTATTTTCGAGTTACTGACTGTTTGGCCCTTTTGATCAATCGTCCAGATCGTCTTAGTTTAAGGGGGACGCTATTAGTATCTAAAGGTCTACGTTTACTATAAGAGCTAGAAGTTAGTGTACTCGTAATACGTTTTGTGGTGCTGTGTGGTGTTTTCTGCGCCTAAAATTGATCTGTTATCAAGAAGTTGTCCGGCGCACCGGAAATAGGTTGGTTAGTGTCTTCGTATTTGTTTCGATCTACTTATAGTAAAGTTTAACAAAAAGTATCTTAGGAGCTAAGGGCTATGATATACCTACTTAGCTAGTCTGACTATAGAGAGTAACGGGGTGATCTATCACCTTAGTCGCTCTATTATTGACTATCTTATTATCTAGGCGAAGACAATCCTACTTAACGATTCGAGGCTCTTCTAGATACTTATAGGCTAGCTACCTAGTAGGGGATAAAATAGATATAGAGTTAACGCCACTACGCTTATCTACTAGGGCTAGAAAGCTTTTATAGATTAATATCTCCTAGTATTCTAATATAGTTATAACTTTAGTGTCGGCAATAGAATAAAGCTACTCGGCGTTATTATAGCCCTAATCCTCGTTAGTATAAATCACAATAGGATTAGAGGCCGAGCCTAAAGGAGTAGGATTATCTCTAATCACTATAGGATTGGCCTTAGTGCCTAGCTCGGAAGAATCGATGAGTTTGTATATAGGATAGTCTGAATGCTTATCGGGGATTGAAACTTCGCAACGCTAAGTTAGCAAAATCTATAATACTTCTAGAATATCCCTTACTAAAGGCCTCGTATATATTCTTTATGAAAGAGCTTATACTAACTTAGGCGGGAAGTGGAGGCGGAAATAAATACTTGATAATTGATATAGGGTAAGACTAAGGGCTATGATTATTAGAGAAATAGTGTGCGAGGAATATAGCTTTATACCTCTTATCTGGCCGATTACGCCTTGTTTAACCTTTAGGTGAAGCGGGCACCCTTATCTAGGTCTTAACTTTAGACGGCAAGACCTAGTAAGATCGCTTCTAGATAAGGCCTATCTACCAATTATCTCTATGTCTAACGCATATTGTTTAGGAATACCATACATTAGAGTCATCGTCTGAAGGTAAATCACACAACTGGCTAGTATTACTGTAGACCTTCTTTCGCCGATCGCCGCCTTGGCTGATCCTGGTATAGTCTATGTATTCCGGAACAGAGGATCAAACATACCTCAAGACTGTTGATTATTACTGCGTTATTATCCTAACTTGGGTCTCTATCATGAATACCAACTTTTGGAGGAATATATCGCAATGAAAACAGATATAGAAGCTCGGGGTCATAAAGTCTAAATTATCTTACCATAGTTATATTGTACTATATATCTTATATTCTGTATCTAGGTACTCGATTGCATAGTATTCCACCTTATACTAGCCGTTAGGCTTAAGGAACCCACGAAATAGCTATGGCTAGTGCCTATATAAGGAAAATCGAAACCTTCCGGGCTTATTTATAATGGGATATTATAGATCCCTTACCCTTGATGGTAGTGGAAGATTAGATAGATAAATGATAGGTTTTATAAAAGTATATTGCAATATGTATAACAGCGATATATATTATGATTATATCTAGGGGGTAGTCGCTAAGACTGCCGGGTAGAGAAAGGGTTAGCACTAAATATAGATCCCTAATTGAGTATAAAAGATTACTATATGATCTTAGAACGAACGAACTACGTAACCTAGTGACTATATATATTTTGATGACTATCTAGCTAGCCACTATGACTAAAATAGTCTTGTCGGGGAATTGGCGGCGATGGTTATATAAAAGATCGGGAGACCCTTCCTAATCTAGAGGAGCTTCCTCGCGAAGTCGGTGATATTAGGCGCGATCCTTCACAGTATATCTAGCAAAGCTTAACAAAGCGGGCGACTAATTCCTTGGAAACCCTAAAAGTATAATTAGTAATCATAAAGTAAGTATATTATACTTACTATATCTTAGATTTACCCACTATAAATAGACCTTCCGGACTTAAGTGAATGACTTATCTCGGCCACTATACTTGTATTTCTAATAAGCGTTAGTGAGGATTTTGAACAATTTCTGTCGAATTGTAACCGGCTTTCTATTAAGACAAATAACTCTATTAGTATTGATTGATCTTACCTATTTAAAGGAGCAAGACTATATCCGGTCCTATAGTTTCGAGCTTAAATATATTTTTTGCCTAAAACCTGATTTTCTTTAGCGATTCGTGTAAAAGCTTATGCTAAGAGACCTATACCGAAACTTAGCTGACTCCTCCGTTGTCTCTTTAGGGCCATTCAATACAGATTTAATGTCCTAGGCTCTCTTAGCATAGATCAAAATTTTATCTCGTTTTTGACTAGATTGTTCTTCGATATAGCTAAAATAATAAGATATCAGTAATAATTCTAGTAGGGTTTATTATATATCACTTACTTCTATACTAGTTGATTAACGTCCTTTATATTAGGGGAGCCGCTAAGTGCGGGCACTATTTCCTCTGATAATAATATAGCCTCGTTGAGAGTCTCCTGGCTTTTAATCGCTGTTTTACCTAGTGGGTCGAGGGGTAGATCCCTTGGCCTATAAAGGTATCGTGGCTAGGCGATTATCTATGGCGAAAGATATAGCCTAGAATCATTAAGCGAATATTTCGATATATACTGTAACCCTTGTGATTGACTTGACTATATAGTAGATAGCTGCTCAAAAGAAGACCTATGTATGTTAAAGGAATAATATTATCTATGTGTGCTGATATAATAACCCTCTTGCTCAAATTCATGACTCTCTGGCTGACCGTATAAGTTAGATATTGCCATATAGTCGGGACTCCCATCGATAAATATTGTGCTTAATGCCCTATGTCTATTAAGCTTAGCTTATCTTGGTTGGAAACCTCTAAAAAAAAAACAAGACAAGATATATAAGACCTATAGAGTTTTGGATATATTCCCTACGCTCAGAGATTTTAGGTAAGATGATCTTTCTATATAAGTATGTCAATAAATATCATAATAAGGCGTGCGGATTTGTATACCTAAGCGTTGCGGAGCCATAGGCGATAGCAGAATACACATAGAGTAAGCACAAACCAACTAAAAAGAAAGGACGCACTAGCTAGTTATATAGATCCTATATTAAAGAGAAATTCGATTGATATCTTTTATGGTCAGGATTTATAGGAAATTGACTCTTTAATATATCTTCCATAATATGATATATAAACTAAAGTCTTTCTAGTTGAGTCTCTAGCTATGCACTTTTCTCAATATCCAAATTACTTATAAGATAACGTTAAAGGTCCTCCCCGTTATTCTAATAAAGTATATGGTTAACTAATATACGTATCTCGCTAGGGGGTAATATATCTATTATCAAAAGACTATATAGCACGACCATACCTTCTAACCCCATATTAGTGACACTTGACCCTATAAGACCTTTGATGAATTTTGGAGGCGTATATCCTATACTCTTTAATAGAATATTAGATAGTAGACGAGTAGTGATAGGTCTATCATGTATATATGGCGCTATAGAGACGATATAAGTAGTGATATCGCTATATTCAATCAAGAACTAAGGGTTTCTTATTCCACTGTCTAAATATTTAGTTTATTGAATTTATATTAAGCTAGAAACAATATATAGAATTAGCTTATAAGATATAATAATTTTTCAGCGATAGGTTCTATGATAAGGTATTATCTGTGCGACTTTGGGAAAAAGAAATGTATATAGGTAATTAGTTTCGGTGACTATATACTTTATAGATTTCTGGGGTTCCTTCCTATTGATAAGAATAAGATTTCTGTAAAGGCGAAACACCAAAGTATTTCTGTGCACTAACTCTAGCTAAATATATAATATATTCATAAGTTATCTATCAATAGCTGCTATGGTTTAATCAATTTTCTACCTCGCTAAGCACTCCCTCGAGGTGAGCTCTATTAAGCGATTAATATAGATTGCTTTATATACGATTAATAAGACGATAGTAGCCGTTGTCTTCGATTAGAATAAAAGAATCGTAGTAGGCTCTCTTGTTAAGCACCCTTGATAGGACCTAATATTTCGTTTTGAGGCGATCACGAATTCGTCGTCTAGTTAGACACTTAAGAGTAAGCTTCGATAATATATCTATTATTGTTTTATAGGTCAGAATAGGTATAGGATTCCCTATAGGGTATTTTAATATGTATTTATAGATAATCTATTGGTTTTCCACAATTATATCGCTTATTCTGTTATAGGCTAAATAATATTAGTATATAGAAATTCAATAGCTATACTTTGTTATATACTATACCTATATATAGCAATTGGTGAGGAAACGAGCTTGTGTTAAAAGTATTCGACTCTAAAACTATAGGGCGAAGGGTTTATATATTTTATGATCCTTTGATAGAATAAGCGCTCTCCGAGGAATTGGTAAATAGGTAATTAGAGATAGTGTAAGGTTAGAATTATCTTAAATCGGCAGATCTATTTAGTTAATCTCTAAATTATGTGAAGTAGGACTCTATCTAGTGGGCCGGTGCGTTTCGCCAAGCTAAGCCCTACGTAACTTCGGCCACGATACACGTGAGGTCATATATAGACTTAGTGGGGCTATCCTCTGATTGAGTCATATAGAGATATAGTCTTACCTTTCGGGTAGGCCTATAGATCACGACCCCTCTACTTATCCACCTAACTCTCATAAAATATGAATATCAACCCTAGTCGGCTAGATAGGGCCACCTTTTCCGAAATACGACTTAAACCAATCCCTAAAAGTTCGAAGAAAATTATCGATATTATAAGGGCGCTTATCGCGAAAGATAAGATAGACCACTTGAAGGAGGATATAAGAGGATAGCTATATGGTGGTAAGAGCTTTACTAAATTAGTAGTCTTATTACGGAAAGAGACAAGGGAGGAACTTTAATATCAAGATATTAACGTGAGAATATCAATTTCGTTGTTAAATAACGAGTCGCTAATCGGTTACCTTATAGGTGATCTTCTGTACTGTACGATATTTCTTTAAAGGGGCGAATATAACCCCTTCCGATCTAACTAAACGACTATTGGTTATCCTAATTAGCAGAACTTCCACCCTTTTGCCTAGCGGCTAGCTACTAATTGATACTTATTGCTATATCGATAACATACCGACACTTTCTAGTGAAGATATTGATATTGTTTTTATTGTATATAAAGTGAATAATCAGTATGCTATATAGTGAGAAATGGAAATAAAAGGTATAGATTAATATTTGTATATTAAGAAATAGGTTAAGGCAAAGATATATACCTTAATAACAAACGGATTATTGTATTATCTCTTTGCAGAGTCGCGTAGCTTCCGCTTTCTTGCCTAGTATGGCCATGGCTTTCTTGCCTAGTATGGCCATACTCGGTCTATATAGTATCTTTGAAATAGATATATAGGTTTTCGGAATTTTTGAGAATCTCTTCTATGTCTATATGAAAGTTTGGATCTTAGAGAATATCCTAATCCTAAAGAGGGTCGAAATCCTAGAAAATATCATAATCTTATAAGGGGTTAAAATCTTGAAATGAAGAGTAATTACACGGTAGATTTTGAAAGTTAGAAGACGAGATATGATTGATTGGTTTAGTGGTGGGATAGTTGGATAAACCTAACTCGGTGTAGATCGGTGTTGTTGAGGTATCGTTAAAACCTAGTTCGGCATTGGTACT